TTTTTCTCATTCTTCACTCTCTGCAAAACAAAACACTTTTTATATCAACAAGTCTCACAGCAGTATGAACATTAGAATACATTTGAGCAATAAGTCTATACCTATTGTATAGTAACAATAGGCTGATAATATTCAGAGTAATAACTAAGAATAAAAGGTTAATCTAAGCAGTGGTGGCCTAAAGGTTTGAGAAGTGAGCTTGTGCTGAGAAGCTCATCAGTTCAATATACTGGACTTTATATAGTCTAAAAGTGAATGGCAGCCTACAGATGAGATTCCATATGTTTTATACTTTCATAATGTGATTTTATGAGAGCTCTTAGTAAATAAATAGCCAAATGAAGACTGCAGTATTCAGTATGTAGGGAACAGATTGCAAGAGCAAGTTAATCAGTAACTAATGTTTAAGTTCCTTAAATGCTTGTAAAACTAGAGTCAACTGAGAGGTAACAGTTGATCATGAGGTCAGCAGTGATTAAAGGTGGGGTAGGTAATTTTGGAGAAACCAGCTCGAGTGTGCTAGAATTTGAAAATACACAGCCGGAAAAAATCTGCCACTTCCTTACAGAGCCCCTCCTCCAACACACACGAACGCGCACATGACCAATGAGGGCACGAGATAAGTTTGTGCACAGATGGAAGGCTGACAGGCAGGTAGGCCATCCAGTTATTTTAGCTGGGCCGGCTAAAATGATTGGTCGTGCTTTTTACAGTACTACGGCTTCCACAGATGACATTTTTTTATGGATTTTTTGTCAAAGCACTTTTTAAGAGCATTCCATGGAATATAACAAAAAGTGTATCTCGAGCCGGTTTCTCAAACTTACCTACCCCACCTTTAACTGAAATAATAAAAAGGCAAGAAACTCTGAAAGTCCTTCAAAGAACAACCATATTACTTTTCTCTCCATGCAGCATAAGTCAAGAGGACTGATTAATCCCAGTCTGTCATTTTTAAGAGAAATAGCAACCCTGTATATCTCAAAATAATTATCTGACACATACTGACTACTTTTTTAACTCGTAATAATTCACCATTACTTATATTGTAAAGGGAGATTTTCAAGATTCAAAGTTGAGGAAAGGCTCATATATTCTATCATTCATTTTAATAGAGAAATTGACTTTAAACTGTTTCTTTTAACACATCAGTCATTTATGTAAAGACTTAATTTAAACCTTCTTTCACTGTAAACTCTAAAACCGCCACATATCTGACCTGGGAGCATTGAATTACTTCTACAATTGCTTTATCAACTTTTAGTTCTTATTAAACAAAGCAACACTTAGATGATTACTATAAAGTAAAGTTGTACAAACCTTAAATGTGTTGAGCTGTGTTTGGATTTGACGCTTTCGCTGGTGCTTTTTATCAAAAATGAATCCACTCTTCTATTTCCCTCGACAAGTAGAGCATGATGGCTAGTGGGAAGTGATTGCTGGTATGAAGGGTTCATTTGCTGCCGCTCCCTTAAATGCAACAATGAATATGTTGATAGCAGTGATAACAGGGTTGGCTGTGTGATACATGAAGACGTTTATAAAAAATACTTTGTGTTCGAATGTTTTTGGACTGTTTTAAATGCGGGTTTATGTTATTCTCTTTATTCTGCTTCTATTGTAAAGAGAATCGTATTATTCATTATATTTTCTTAAAAAGGAAGTCGTTTTTTTTGTAGTTTTTAAGATGCACATAGATGACGCAAAAAAGTTGAATATGTATGTCCAACAAAACATTAAAATAAAAAAAGAAGGTGCATATAGACAAACTCTATTTGCTTGACAAAATGCTATAAAGCCTGTGTTTGAATAGACATCAGTGTTGAAAAAGAATATTAATGTTTGACCTTTGGCCTGGGATCTGCTACACTCTTAACTAGCAGACCTATAAAAGCAGGGTTGTAAAAGGTCCAATATCCAAGATAAAAAATAACACTGAGCTGAACACTGAACAGAGCTGCTTATCTTTGTTGAGTTAACCCGTGCTGACAGGATACTCTCCTACAAAGCTTCTGGTCACTTGCCAAGATAAAAAACGGTACTAATGAGAAACATTTGTTGAAATGAATATATCGAAAACAAATTCAGGAAAATAATGGAAATAAATAAATAAATAAAAGAGAATACCAAGTAATTTGATACTCAAACAACATTAAAGGTCCCATCATATGCTTTTCTGGTTATTACCCGTCCCCTTGTGTGTTATGTAGCTTTTTCTGCATGTAAATGGTCTGCAAAGTCACAAACCCTCAAAGTACACCCTGTAGCGAGTAAAACTCTAACACAGAAAATACCTGTCTATGCTGCCCCAGAACGCCTCGTTGGAGATTTTTATTTTTCCATTTTTTTCTTCCTGGTCACAGTGACGTAACGCTAGACCAATTGGTCCAAATGGACCAATCCGCGGAGCTCTGCATACACACACACACACACACACACACACACACACACACACACACACACACACACACACACACACACACACACACACACACACACACACACACACACACACACACACACACACACACACACACACACACACACACACACACAAGGGCGGAGCAGCGAGCCCCGCAACGTCCCGCCAACACGGCACCCAGACCCCACGCAGCATTCTCATCTGTTTGTCATTACTGGTGTCATTTTCTGGTTGCTAACAAACGCCATTGTAACACATAAACACTGATGTCCAGCTGTAACGGTGGTTGACTAATCAGAGCACAGTGGGCTCATAGGGAGGGGGGGGGGGCAGGAGCTCCAACAAGGCGTGTAGGACAGAGAGTGAATATACTATACAGAGATGCTGTATGAGAAAACCAATGTGATTTTGGAACATTGAACAATGTAAATCTATTCCAGTAGACCTCAACAATGGAATTATGATCAGTAGAAATGGCCATGACATGGGACCTTTAAAGAAATGTCTTAAAGCTGTCCTATCATGCAAAATGCACTTTCTGATGTCTTTTATACATAAATATGTGTCCCCGGTGTGTCAGGGAACTCACAAAGTGTCAGAAAATATAACCCTCTCTCTTTTCCTCCGTACCCACATCTCTAAAAACGGGGGTACAATGGAGCTAAACCAGATTTGTGTCCGATATGACGTAATATCGGAAATGTGGGCTGGCTTTACACCCACGGCCCTATCAGAAACATCGCTATCAGAAACAATGCCCGACGTGTTTTGGACGTAATGATCTTTGTTTACATTAGCAAGCATCGCTAACACTCAGAGCTAACCTGTACTGGAGAGAGTATGTGTAAAAAAGCAGGAAATAAAAAAAAGAACTCACCTTGTAGTAAACCCGCAAGAAAATAAGCATTTGAGCTCCATACTGTTTCAGAAATAATCCTTGAAGTGGTTTGGAACATGAGCAGACAGCCTGCTCTTCACAGAATTCAAAAGGGGGCGGGGCCAGCGGAGAATCAGCCATTCTCTAACAGGGCTGAAATAGAGGGATATGAGGGATGTCTAAAATGCATGATCTGTTTGGTATTTTGAGCAAAACACATCATAGATATGTTTTTTATATATTTGTATATATCTGATACCCATAATATATGCCTTAAAATAGCATGATAGGAGATCTTTAAAAATGACTTCTCTTTCACTTCTGTTCAAAAACAGCAGAGGGGGCTGTTGCTTCTTAAGTGGATACCTTGCAATTTAGAGCAGCACAGTTTGCTGGAAAGCCTTCAGCTCAAATTCAGAGCAGCATGGTAGACCCTTTTGTATCTAATCAAATGTCCCTTGCAGTCAGACGCCCAGCAGAGATTCAACACGCTATGCACACCAAACAGTAAAACAATAGTGATGCATGGTGTTATTTATTTACCTTGTTTGAAGGGTTGATTGTTGCAGGTTGATGATGATGATCCAATCAGATCTAGGGTAACACAACTTGAAACTAATAAAGAGCTTAATACAACTGTTCTGGCGTCTTCCTGTGATAACTAATGAGACCTCTGCGACGCCATCCTAATTATAAGTCGGAAAGTGAGTGAAGGCTTCAAAATAAGAGCACAGGCTTTAAAAATAAGAGCTCTTAAAGACGATTATTTAAGAAAATCTAATATTCACTCTTGGATGAAAATACTATTTTATTATTGTATTTAACCTTTATTTAACCAGATGAAAACATTGAGACAACATCTAATTTACAATGCTGTATATTGAACTAACTATAACTGAGGCATAAACCAAAAAGATATGGAATAAGTAATCAAATATTAAATTAAAATAACAATGACTAGCAAAGGTGGGAAGTAACTAAGTACATGTACTCAAGAACTGTTCTTAAGTTCAATTTTGAGATACTTACTTGAGTACTTCTACTCCACTTCATTCATTGTGTAGCCTACATTAGTTACTTTGCAGAGTTGGATTAACGATTTGTGAAATATAAAAAACACTTAAATAAGACTTTAGTTACATCTGGAGTAACATTCACAATCCTGCAGTATACAAAGTCATTACAACTAGCTGCACCTTTACCAGTTTTGATAACACTTTAATTATCAATAATTATAATAAAAACATATAATGATTCTGAAATGAAGAATTTGCATAATAAGTACTTTTACTTTTGGTACTTATATGTTGATGCTAATACTTTTGTACTTTTACTTGAGTAACACTTTGAATGAAGTTCTACTGTACTTGTAACAGAGTATTCCTACTCTATATATATAGTATTCTGGTACTTCTACTTTTTCTCAAGTACATATCTGAGTACTTCTCCCAACTCTGTTGACTGGGCTACTACTACACCTTCTTCACATTGGGCAGTCCAACTCTGAAGAAGGTGTCCAGGCTCTTCTGTTGATATATTCATTGATTTGAGAAATCCTTAATCTTAAAATGCACGAGTTGTAACTCACTTTGGATAAAAGCATCAGCTTAAGAAATGTAATGTAATTGATTTTCATTCATGCCTAACCCACATTCAGCCGTTGCACATGTTTAATGTAATTTCGTAAAATGTTCCTGAGTGATTAATCCAAGATGTTTTACATACTGTGTAAAAAAGGCACCACTTGATGAAATATCTGTGTAATGTGTATGTGTGTGTTGGTCTCCTTATAGACATTACCATACCGCTAACCTTTGCTCCATAACTTGTGTATTCCACGGATGTTGTATAAATTGTGCCCATTTCTTTTGTGTGTTAATACATACTCAACTCCTTTCTTAAAATCAGTACAAATATGTTTTTCCTATTTTTTATTTCTTTAAAGTTTGAGATTCAGCTTTATTGTCTTTATACAATTTCAGAAGCCCCCTCCACCCTGCACATACAATGAAACGTATGTTAATAATTATTAAATTAGATAAATAGAAAACTTCAAATAGGCAATCCAATAGAAAAACATACATAAAGTGCCACAATCCTCACATGTAACATTTCAGCTGAAAGGGAATTTGTCTTTCTTAGAAAAATATTAGAAAAGTGACAAACTTTTTCTCTTTGTCCACAAGAAGCCTCCCTATATTTCCTTGTTCTCTTTAAAAATTAAAATGACAAATAACATCACTGCTGAAGTACAATGAGATACAAATATTAAACAACCGACTACTGTTACTGTCATCAGTAGAACAGTTATCCTGAAACATTGTAATTCTACATATCTTCATCGAGGTACAATAGTAAGTACGGTTTAGTTGAACTGTGGTCTGTACTGTATGTAACATGTTCATTATTTGTGGATTGTATAGTCATACTGCAGTAACATATTTTGGACAATAGAGGGCACCACAGTTCCATATTCCCTGTAGAAACCAAAGTTATACTGTAAACCCTACCACCCAATTCTATACATCCACAAACAAGTTATCATCTTACTTTTTTGGATTGTACTCTGACTAGGCTGGTACTTGTGATACAGTTTCATCTCTATGACAGAAACACAGTAAGAAGTCAAAACATTCACCAAACTACAAGTAAACAATGGCAAGAAACATCCCTGCAGAGAGTATTGGGTCTGAAAACATGGTGAATCTTGCATAGAAACTGGACAGGAAGAAACACTAATTTCCTCTGTGAGTTGATGGCTACTTTATAGAGAAGTTTGGTTTGTTTGGTACTCAGCAAATCTGATTTCATGTTCTCTGGCTGATTATTAACCTGTTGCTTTTAAACAGGAACTTCCTACAGGTTAGCAATATTATGCAAACAGGTCCTGTGTCCTTAATCTGAGCTACCCATTCATTTTCTTTAATTTGAGATGAAGTGCAAAAAATGACTTATTGGTGTTGGAATGTATACAGTGCTCTGCACAGGGCTCTCGCCTAGATGTGTAAATACATAGTGCACATCAGGATTACCCTGAAAAAGGTTAAACAACACGATTATATATATACAAACTACTTTTGTATAAAATCAAATACAAGTTTGATGATAAAACATCTCAATATATAACCTTTTCTTAGCAGCAGGAAAATAGAATGGATATCTAACAGACACATTTTAAAAACATGGAAATGAACTTTCTCCTACAGTAATCTTACATGAATATTTTAATTAAAGACCCCTTTACATATAGCTTATTCAATATAAATATTAAGAGAGAAGATTTCACACTATATCAACTGTTCTCCAGAACATCCTTTGGCAATTTTGACAACGGTTTCTGGTTTAAAATAACATTTATTCTTCTCTTTGTGAAGAAAATAAACAGGCACATACTGAAACTAGAAAAGGTTCTCCATGTTGTATTCTTCTGTACCTGTTCCTCTCTAGTCAAGTTACAGTTTACATTCATATCTGTCAAAATTGTCATCACTTTGCATCCTGTAAATCCAGTGAAAGCTCAAATCTACACTACTGCATTTGAATCAGATTTGATGACAAAATAATGCTTTAGCCTGCAGCTGGACAATGGTATACAACGGTTTCTCCTGATGGAAAGTAATACCTGATCTAACATCCCAAGAGCAGGTGCAGGAAACAAAGAGTCAATCAGCTTCTGTCACAGCCTGTAAGCTACAGTTTGGTACTGCTTAAGGTTTTTTTTGGACCACATTCCAGACTAGGATCATTTAAACTGTTCCACATAAGATACAATTGAGGTGAAAGGAATCTGTGCACCAGTAAAACATCCTGATAAAAGCAAGGATCATAAACATCGAGTTTTCTGGAAGATATGGACAGTCCTGCTGTCTTCACACCCATATGAGAAGCGGGACTTAGTCCTGCTTTGGCCAGACACATCCCCATGTAAACATCGTCAATGGGAAGAATGGTAATGGACTGAGACATCTTGTATATAACCATAGCTGTATAACCAGACAGGAGGAAGCCCCCACCACCACAGTAAGAGGGATATGAGTTTGACTCCTGCACCTGCACTGGGATATAGTATTTGCTCGAAGATGCTCTTATGGGCCCTACGTTATAGATCAGATGGCCAGCAAAGAGGTGTTTGCTTCCATCGTTGTCCTTTAGGCCTTGGAGATACTCGACCATGTTGTTTGTGTGGGCAAAGACGTCATCGTCACCATTCAGAAGGAAGCGAGCGTTTGGACAGTTTCGTTCCATCCATTCCAGGAAGAGGATCTGCTTCAAGGTGAGGTTGAAAAATGAATCATGAAAGTCCCATTGGATGATGTCATTGTACTCACGTTGCTCTACCTTGAGTAGTTTGTTCAGTCTCTCTTTCTCAAAACCAGTATCTGTGGTCCCTGAGATGAAGACCCTCCGGATCCACACACCATTGTGTAGCCTCTCTTTAGCCCAGGTTTTACGCAGCACCTCTCGACGGTCGTAGTTGCCAGGGGAACTTTTAATGACCAGCAGAAGGAAGACTTCTGCCGATTTATCAGCTCCTCCACATTTGTCAGGAAGGTCCAGTAGCATGGGGAAATGGCGACAGTGTCGATAATAGAGAAAGTCTTGGATGTGCTGAGGAAGAGTTTTGAAGCCTGTGATGTTGGCGGCAGACATATTTTGTTGACATGCTGGCCAGGAATACACATAGGGTTTTTTTTGTATCAGTTGCCTTATTTGATGTTTATCTTCCCTCACATCTTCTTCGAGGTTGAAGGTTTTGTTGTCAATAAAGTCTTTACAGAGATGGAGGACAAACAGACCAAGAACTCCTGCCAGCAAGAGAGCTTTTGCACGGACGTTTCTCATCCTTGAATCTCTGTAGTGACAAAACAAAACAGTGTTATTATCAAAACTGTATGACATAAGTAACATGATTAATTGGTTGTTAATTCCTTAGTTAAGTTCATGGATAGCCCGTCCTCGGGCATTGCAGCCACTGCCACACTGTATCAGTTCAATATGCATAATGTTGAAGGCCAAAGCAAACCAGGAGCTGATTAAAACATATTATATCATGCTAAACTGACCCCAGTTTTATTTTCCAAGGAGATGATCCAAGTCAGATTTAATCACAGCAATTCGGCCGTTTGATAAAGACAAAATGTGAATTAAAAAAAACAGCCTTGAGTCTCTGACAATGTTTATTTATATTCTCCACATAATTAAAGTGGGCCTATCATGCTATATTTGAATAATAGAGTGTAGGACCATACCTATATAAGGCATATTTATACTTTTTTTTTTTCAAAATACCAAACAGATCATGCATTTTAGCCATGCCTCATTTCGCTCAATTTGAAAAATGTTAGCTCTGTTTTTGCAAGGGCTGATTCTGTGAGAACAGCACCATCTACAGGCCTGGCATATGTACTACAGCGTCTCCAGCGCTTTCGAGTGGCAATGGCCGTGGCTGTCTCCTCCTGATTGGTGGAGTTGGCCCAATAGCCGTAGCGCCACTGTCCTGACGTCAGGACAGTGTTCAAATCTGGATCAGTTTTTATCAGATCCGTTGCAGCCCCTTTTTTAGAGATTTGGGTATGGAGGAAAATAGAGAGGGTTGTGTTTTCTGACACTTGGTGAGTTCCCTGGAACACCGGGGACACATATTCATGTATAAAAGACGTACAAAAGTGCATTTTGCATGATAGGTCCCCTTTAAGTGAGTTAATGTGAACCTAAACGATAAGGATTGGGTTTAAATGGCTGATGTATCTGTGCTCACAGATATCACTGGCCTATAAAAGTGTCCCCTTAAGTCTTATTTATTAAGACTTAAGGTTTTGCATTCTGAATCATCAGAATTATCAGAAGTTAAATATCATAAAGTTCCTGGAATGTGTAATTATCAGTATTTAGCATTAAGTAGTTAGTATCTAGTTTGGTAGCCTGTTGATCTTCCTGAAATGTAAATGTTGGAGATGCCACAAACAGTCTGAAGGTGGTTTGAAACATGTTTTTCTAAATTAGAGGCAGGAATATAGATGATGGAGTTAATTTTGAGATTATTTATATTGCAAATAGAAGGATAGACTTTGAGCATTTACTGTTGATAGGAGATTGTATTTACCTGACTTGAGACTACATACAGTAGTGACTATGTTGGCTTACACTCACCATATAAAACACAGAGAAGCTGAATGTCCCTTTAATGAAGCTTTCACACATTTCATATTACTGCTTTGAATAACAAGCAGAGAGCAACAGGAGAGAGCAGACGGTGCCTCAAAGCAGACATGAGGTGGCTTGGCATCTGCCCCACAGAATCCCTACATGCTGTACTAAACCAGCACATGGGCGGAAACAAATCTAATGCTGTCATGTCTCCTCAAAATGGATGGAATATGTGACAAATACATGATGTCAGACATTAAAACATCAGCACAAACCAATTAGGCCTACAGAAAAACATGAGAAGAAATGGGGAGGGTCCACCAAACATTAACCTTAACAGTCAAATGACAAAACACTAGCCTCACCCTGTTAATCCACTGGGAAATATGCAGACACACAACTGACTGTTTGCATGAAACCTAACAATACACTACAATGGGTAAACAGTCAATATGAGAGCTGGTAGGACTTTTGTGAAGTATTTTTCTTCCTTAAAACGTTTTTAAATCATATATCATGGTAGTCGACAAACTTATACTGTTTGTATTTTGTTAAGACTGTAGGAGGTCTTGAATTCAGTCATTCTTTTCTGCTGTTAATAATATACTAGGTGTTTTCCCCCCTAGCTTCCTCATAACTTTGCTTTTACTTTGAGTTGATTAATGACGGATGAGCCATTCAGGCAGTGATGATCTGGCCTCTCTGTGGTTGCCATGGAATTTCTACAATGAAAGTGGTCATTAGAGTGACGAAAGACACAGACTGACGGGAAGACAACTAACAGGATATTTTACACGCGGACTAAGTAAATGAACTAAAGGACTAAATATTTAACTTTATATTTTTAAATTCTTAAATCTGCAGTTTCTTTTTCAGATTTAAGATACAAAATATATGATTGGTTTACAAAATATTATGCATTACACTAGGTTCAATTAACACACACAGCTCTCTTCTGACTAGCCACAACACTAGCTATAAATACAGTTTATTATTATATTTATTTATTCATATGCCATGCACACAGGCACAAAGGTGTGAAAAAACCGCCTTGGTCTAGGTTCCCTTTTAATATGCTGCTGAATTAGCAAAAAGTTGAAGAATTTAGAATTGGAGAACTATACTCTGAATGTTGTTGAATCAACATGAATATAACAAAAAATATGAAGTCTTGAATAAACCTGGAAAGCTCCACATCAATCTGATACAACTTTAAAATGCAGCTTACACATTGATGCATTAGTAAGCATTACTAGAACTTAAGATCAGGTTAAACATGAGCTATTCGATTTCAATTGCTTTTCTGTTGATTGTGTTATATAAATGAAGTAATATTGAATAATTATGTATTTTTATACATTTAATATATTCATATTTTACTGCATAACTAATACTTTTACTATCAATACTAACTATATTTAGCTGCTCCCCTGCTGATAAAATAATCTTGGATGAAATCAAGGGTTGGTCAATCTAAGCTGTTTTCTTTCAGCAGAGGAGGCTAACACTTAATTACTTTTACTTAAGTGATATTGTGAATGCTTTTAGCTTACTTATAAAATAATGTTTTACATCGTTGTTTTGGTAGCCTACTTTTTGTTCAAGAGTCTAAATAGTTAACCTCATGTGAAACCATAGTTTTCATTTTAATTTTTTTTATGAAAAGGAAGTCGTTATTTGATCAGGTGACATTTAATTTGTACTTACAATAGGACATATTTATAACATTATAGCCTATTATAACTTGTATCACTATACGGTTACAATAGCTAACTATAAAGAAAGGACAATATAAAAAACAACTTTCTTACAACTAGGCCTACTACTTTTTGAGAAGAAAGTAAAAGTGGAAATAGCCAGGTTTTTCGGTCAGGAGCGTTGTTTTTCCGACCTATCATAACATTTTATGATATAGCCTACAATCAATTATCCTAATTAGATTTGCTGAAATCTCATCGAACATATTTTACTTTTATCGGAAATAATGTCCCGTTACTTTAAAACGGAAGCTCTCTCCACTCTAATATAGCGTGCTGCTACGTTACAAAAACATTTGGTTTTATGAAGTTGGTTTGAATAAATAACTAAGTGTAGGGTACTTACAGTTATAGTTCCTCCTGTGAGTCTCTGTAGCCCCAAAGATTATTGCTAGTCCTCAGCAGCATGACTTGTGTCTGGACTAATGTCAGCGCGCTGGGCGGTGCCCGTTTCTCATGATGGATCTCTGCGTCAGGAGGACTGACTGTCCATACTACAGATAGATATCAGATGTATAGCTGTATAGATAGATGTATAGATAGATGTATAGATAGATGTATAGATGTATAGATAGATGTATAGATGTATAGATAGATGTATAGATAGATAGATAGATAGATGTATAGATAGATGTATAAATAGATAGATAGATAGATAGATAGATAGATAGATAGATAGATAGATAGATAGATAGATAGATAGATAGATAGATAGATAGATAGATAGACGTTAGATATTAATTATTTATTTGCAAAACAATAAGTTCAAATCTCTTTACTATTATTTTTTTGTTCAAAACATAATTTATTATTTAATTAAAGCTGATAGTGTTAACATTTGATTTTTGCTGTCATTGGCAAATTAACACAACACACAATAACCCAATAACTTGGTTTTGAAGCTCAAATGTGATACTTCAGTGAGTTTTCCAGACATGCCACAGTTGTGATGTCCCAGGAGACAGTTGTGACAGTTGCACTTACAGTTAGGAGAATCTTACGACTGTTTCATAACATGAAACTAATTGATTGGTGACAGGTTTTCATGTCTGCGTGGTAAATCTATGAAAGCACAGACACTGTCACTTCAGTGCTCTGATGTTCTGCTCTTAGAAAAGTGTGATCATGTGGCAAGTATTGTAGCCTCCTGAAAAGTTGATCAGGGTTTGGAACAATTGATTTGTTGAGGAGATTATTAACTATATTTGAAAATAGCTATATAAAAACACTCCTTGTTACTCAGTTCATTGTTGTGTAATATTCTTGGTACAATGTATGAACAGATGAAGTAAGATGATATTGTAGCGATCACTGATTCATACACTGGGGTTACATAATCCAATCATGGAACTACAGGTTGGGGGTATTGTTTCCGCCCGGACATATATGTTGACGGTACCTCCGGGGTACCTACTGTGTGTGTGTCTCTTTCACTTTCTCTTACTCTTCTCGGCTCGACCCGACAGCATGTCGATTTCTGCTCCTCAATAAAGCCAGATTTGTACCTCCGATGCACCGCCTCCGACTCCCTTCTCTCGGCACTACATTGGTGACCCTGACATAAGTCTCGCGAAGGATCCGAGGCTGAATCGAACACGGCAAAAAGCGCAGCTTTTCTCGGAATGCCGGAGATTCTTGGAGACGTCCGTAGCTGCCACGTGCACATGGACTGAGGCTCGGTGCGCCCCGCGGAATGGCTGAGGACGTCGCTCGCCATTCCCGCTTCGTCTCGGCACTGGAAGGCAGCAAGCCTTCCTGCTACGGGGAGACGATGCACGACCTGCTAGGTATGGAGGAACCCGACTTCTACCTCGTGGTGCTGTTTCTTCGGGACATGCTGCTGCATGTCCAGGCTGCGCTAGCTAACACGGCTAGTGTTGAGCCCCACGCTTTGGCCGAAGAAGCTTGCCGGTTCCTCCTAGCCGCCCCGCGATTTTCCCCCGAGGTGCTTGCCACTGCTCGCTGCAGCACCTTCCCTGGTGAGGGCACGCCGCCTAGCAGGGGCTCCGGGGACGACGACGACAGCGACTACCGGCCGTCGAGATCGGCTGGCCTCGACGGCTAACGACAGCTATCGACGTCCGACTGGTTTTTTATTTTGTTTTTTGTGGTGCCGGAGAGGAGGTTCGATCACGTCTAGTCGGCCTCGTGTGGATCCTCTCACAATTTCGCCCACCTGTTTTTGATCGTGGACAGGACGACCTTTTGAGTTTTTTTTCTGGTGTCTGAGAGGAGGTTCGACCATGTCTGGTCGGCCTCGTGTGGACCCTCTCGCTGTTTCACCACCTCGACGGCGGTTTCGGACGTCACACACGCCTTCTTCGGCCCGTGGGTGGCGCGCTTCTGGACCCCGTCTCGCCTCTTCCCTCGCCTCGGCGGTTCCGGACGTCGCCCATGCCTTCATCGGCCTGTGGGTGGCGCGCTTCGGGACCCTGCCTGGCCTCACCTCTAACCGCGGCTCACGGTTCGCCTCGACGGCGCCCCATCTGGCCTCTCCCCTGTCCACGGCTCCTTCCTCCCGGGGACACGGCTCCTTCCTCCCGAGGACTTCGTGCCCGCCGCCGCTGTGCCTTCGCCTGCGGCCGGGCAGCGCGCCTCCCTGCTGGGGACCTCCGGGTGTTTCACGCCTGTCCCCACGACGCGACCCTGCTTTCTGCGGCCCCCTGACGACGGCCCGTTCCGGCCCGCCACCCGCCCTCCGGTGGGGATGCCCTCGCCTTCGTTGGGGCCCCTACCCTCTCCTGCGGCCCCCTTCCGACGGCCCGTTCCATGGCCCGCCCTCCTCGGCCCCTGTGGTGCTTCCTCCCGGACGCGAGGATTGTGTCCATGGTTGAATTCTGGGGGGGCTTGTGTAGTGATCACTGATTCATACACTGGGGTTACATAATCCAATCATGGAACTACAGGTTGGGGGTATTGTTTCCGCCCGGACATATATGTTGACGGTACCTCCGGGGTACCTACTGTGTGTGTGTCTCTTTCACTTTCTCTTACTCTTCTCGGCTCGACCCGACAGCATGTCGATTTCTGCTCCTCAATAAAGCCAGATTTGTACCTCCGATGCACCGCCTCCGACTCCCTTCTCTCGGCACTACAATATGATGATTATACTTCTGCCAGTATTTATAAGAAAATTATGACCCCCTGATCTCCCCCCTCAGGCCAAACTTTGTCTCAACCAGATACTAACATTAACCAGTTATACAATATCCAACCAAGTTCCATTCGTGGTAACAGGGCCGGTTCTAACCAATTTGCTGCCCTTGGCGAGATTTTAGCACTTTGAGCACACAATTACTCGAGACTAGATCTAGGGGGTACAACTCTAAACACCCATATGAAAAAGATCGATTTACATTTGAATAACCAAATAAGTATGTGAACATAACCAATAACCTACCATAGCCAATAACAAATACATGTAACTTATTTTATTTTTGTTGTTCATTCATATCTTATTTTACCTAGTTAACATTTATTTATGCATATTTTTTTATCTCTCAAGTTTTAAACAATATTTTTGGTTTACTGTCCTATAGTATACATTGAAATGATTTCAAACCTGTTTATCCCAATAATTATAAAGGAGTGCCTTGGAAATATTTGTTTACATAAATGGGGCGAGTTGACATGCGAGCTAGTTCAGGCAGTCAACTCGAGCACCAAGTTACATTAACACGTGACGCACCTCGTCCCTCTTACAACCAACCAAACACATTCTCCTAAACATGCCGCTCTATTTAAGCTGCCAGGTCTTCCTGCCTCTGCCTCGCTATGCTGCTGCTGCCACTGCTGTGTTCACTTGCTATTGCTACGTTCATGATCCTGCTGCTGTGTTTCATGTTGCTGCTACTTGCCTGCCCCACCACCACCCCAGCTCCACCCCAGCTTCCACCTGTAGGCTCGGGGGATAGTTATCTAATCATCACTCAATGTTCTTTGTAAATCTGTGGAGTGATCAGGCCCGAGCCTAGACGCCAAACTCAAACTATATGCTCCTTATAATAACATATTAAGAAACACGTGAGCTGTCTGACTGAAATTGCATTTATCTCTCTCACTCGCTCCCATGCCCACTTTGGCTGTGAGCTGCGGACACCTGATAAGCCAACACCCCACACTTTCATCACTTACAGCGCCCATCGTACAGGGCAAATGAAAAGTGTAACCGGGGTGAAAAGGGTGTTACATTTACTTAAATAGAAAATGCATTTCCTGCAGAAAATGTGTGCGAATGCTGTAAACTGTGAACATTTGTTGCTGAATTTAGCTGAAAATGCACAAAAAGCTGAATATGTTATTAGTTGAATGGTCTCTGTAGCTGCTTTTAGCTACAAAAACCAAGTAAGTGTGTTGCTGAACTTAGCGGAGAAATGCAGAAAAGTGAAATGATTTTAATCAAATTGTTACAGCTCAAATGCATTGCAATGACTTTGTTGAAAACTTGAAAGTGAAATGTTAAACTGGAAGAGTAGGAAAAATGGTGAAGAAGCTTAATATTTAAAAGAAAAGGTTTGAAAAAAGGTATAAACAACAACATGTATAGCCTCAATGTCCTGAAATAGCTGAATAATGTAATAGTTGAATGGTTTCTGTAGCTGAAAGTAGGCTGAAGGAGTTAAATATTCAATGTAAGTAGTAGTGAATGAATGTGTATTAAGAAGAGAAAAGAAAGTAAAAAGGCTTGGGAAAGCAGCAGAATATTTTGACTGCAAACTTTTCGACTAAAACCATATGTCACCAATAATGTATAAAATATGTGGAACATGTTGAAGTCAGTATGAAGTCTCAATCAGACAGAAAAGAATAGGCTGAGACAGTCTGTTAAAGTCCAGTCTGTTTGTTTGTGTTTGAGGTGACGACGTTATGAAACACCTGTGTACGTAAGCCCAGAGATCAAAGGTTTCCATGGAGATGTGCTGTGAAAGGAGAGCCTTTCCATTGTTCTGAAGGAGAAATAAACCTCTTACATTTCTAACTGCATCACAGCGGGAGGAGCAAAACACACACTTCAAGTCAGATCATCACCCTTAGCTATTTTAATTGGCCTATCTCTCAAACTACCTAAACTAGTTATAAATATGTTTATTTTTTACTGTCGGCCGGGTCACTCATTACTGGATCAGCTGCTGCATGAGACATGACGCTGTCAGAAGAGAGGAAAAAGAGAGGACAGGCTCCGTGTATTTTATTATTATATATAGTCGTTATTCATTTGTTTTAAAGTTTAATAAATAACAAAAAAGACCTTTGACCGGCACTTTTATAATTTTGTCCGGAAGATTTAAACTTTTACACACGTTGACTGGCGAAAAACTCTGCCCGGTTCCCTCGGCCCCCACCACGGTGAATAAACAGAAGGGCAACCATGCTTCTTTGCTGCTTTTGTGGAGGAAGTTACAGCGCCACGTACAGGCTCGGCATATGTACTG